TTCAACCTTAAAAATACATAAATTAGTGAATAAAAACCTGATAACTTAAATAATTATATTTTTTCCTGCCGTTTTCTTGTCCCAAATTGGTAGGTGTAAGATCATAGGTTTGATGATAGTGACCAATAGGTAAGGTCATACGTTTGATGATAGTGACCAATAGGTAAGGTCATATGTTTGATGATAGTGACCAATAGGTAAGGTCATGCGTTTGATGATAGTGACCAATAGGTAAGGTCATACGTTTGATGATAGTGACCAATAGGTAAGGTCATACGTTTGATGATAGTGACCAATAGGTAAGGTCATACGTTTGATGATAGTGACCAATAGGTAAGGTCATGCGTTTGATGATAGTGACCAATAGGTAAGGTCATACGTTTGATGATAGTGACCAATAGGTAAGGTCATACATTTGATGATAGTGACTAATAGGTAAGGTCATACGTTTGATGATAGTGACCAATAGGTAAGGTCATACGTTTGATGATAGTGACCAATAGGTAAGGTCATGCGTTTGATGATAGTGACCAATAGGTAGAGATTGCCACTACAAAATTTACCTGTTGTTTGACTGAAATATATATTTTATTTGTCATTTAAAAATCAGGATGAGCAAGACGTTGTACAAGTATACTTTGAGGTGACACCGCCAACAAGGCAGTAATCCCAGGGAAAGTCCCACCTTCAGTTTGCATGCCAGAGTGCATACTTGCAATCGCAGGTGTAAGTCGTCAGCGTGTACAAGAAGCTACGCCACCAACAGGAAACAGGGCTTAATCCTTCATTACGTGCGTCGGCCAATCCGCGCCACTAAGTGAGATTTAGGTCAACAAGATCACAGAGGAAGGCTTGGGCACGCGGGAAGCCGGCTCCTCCAGGTATTGGTGGCATAGTCCTTGGGGGCCATCACCAGTGCCTACATCACAGGCGGGCACCAATCCAAACTGGTATATCCCGAGATCATTTTAATACAGGGATAATCCCGGCTTTGTGTCCGGGTCGACTGTGGCGTGTGAGTGTTTATCCCGGTGCGCGTGTTTAAGACCAAGGCGGCGGCCGTCGTGTTGTATAATTGTCGTCCGCCGCGACAAAAAAGCCGTGAGGGCCAACACCATGTTTACAAGACGGACCCGAAAACTCGACGGAGTGTGACCGTGGCCACAGCGCCCGACGTGACAGTTATCGCCAGTCGTCTCCTGGGTACTGGCTGGCTCACGGCCCCGTGGCTTTGTGAGGATTGTTTAGAGCCAAGCTTTGGCGACGCACTCCACTGTTCTTTGGAACGCACGCCACTGTTCTCTGGCGACGCACTCGATTGTTTTCTGACGACGCATTCCACTGTTATCTGGCGATGCACTCCACTGTTCTCGGCGACGCACTCCATTGTTTTCTGACGACGCATTCCACTGTTATCTGGTGCTGCACTCCACTGTTCTGGAGACGCACTCCACTGTTTTCTGGGGATGCACTCCACTGTTTTCTGGCGACGCATTCCACTGTTTTCTGGCGACGCAATCATCCCCACAATTCCTTTGCGACGTATTCCACCCCATCGTGTTCCCTGGTGACTCACTATCTCTCTCACTACCTATTACTGTACACCCTCCACCCAAACAACACACTGCCACCCTGCTGTTCTACCAAACAACACACTGCCACCCCGCTATTCTACCAAACAACACCACTGCCACCCGCTGTACTGCCACCCCGCTGTTCTCTACCGCTGTTCTACAAACAACACACTGCCACCCTGCTGTTCTACTCAAACAACACACTGCCACCCCTGCTGTTCTACCAAACAACACACTACCACCCTGCGCCACCCCTGCTGTTCTACCAAACAACACACTGCCAATTCCTGCTGTTCTACCAAACAACACACTGCCACCCAGCTGTTCTACCAAACAACACACTACACTGCCTACCACTACCCGCTGCTCACACTTCTGTTAAACAACACACTACCACCCCGCTGTTCTACCAAACAACACACTGCCACTGCCACCCAGCTGTTCTACCAAACAACACACTACCACCCCTGTTCTACCAAACAACACACTACCACCCGCTGCCAAACAACACACTGCCACCCCTGCTGTTCTACCAAACAACACACTGCCACCCCTGTTCTACAAACAACACACTGCCACCCCACTGTTCTACCAAACAACACACTGCCTTTTCCCCGCTCTTCTACTAAACAACACACTGCAACACACCCTGCTGTTCTACCAAACAAACACACTGCCACCCCACTCTTCTACCAAACAACACACTGCCACTGCTCTTTCCTAAACAACACACTGCCACCCCTGCTCTTCTACCAAACAACACACTGCCACCCACTCTTCTACCAAACAACACACTGCCACCCCTCTTCTACCAAACAACACACTGCCATTAAACACACACCAACCAAACAACACCCACTGCCCCTGCTGTCTCTACCAAACAACACTGCCACCCGCTGTTCTGCCAAACAACACTGCAAGCAACCACTGCCCTGCTGTTCTACCAAACAACACACTGCCACCCTGCTGTTCTACACAAACAACACACTGCCACCCCGCTTTCTGCAAACAACACTGCCACCCCGCTGTTCTACCAAACACACTGCCACCCACTGTTCTACCAAGCAACACACTGCCACCCCTGCTGTTCTACCAAACAACACACTGCCACCCTGCTGTGCCACCCCACTGTTCTACCAAACAACACACTGCCACCCCGATGTTCTACCAAACAACACACTGCCACCCCGCTGTTCTACCAAACAACACTCTGCCACCCCACTGTTCTACCAAACAACGCACTGCCACCCCGCTGTTCTTTCGATGACGCACTCCCACTGCTGTTTCCGGGGACGCATGGGTGTCAGCAAGTTGAGGATTCTGACCTTATGAATGATAGAGCTCGACGCATCATGCTGGTAGAGTTTTACCCTAAGGCTCCTCGAGCTGAGCTTCCCTGACTCGTGGCTCTGATGTCTTTGTATTATTATAGAGCGAGGTGATTCAGTCGCCTGGTTATTGTTATTGTAGTCGTTAGTTTTATTAGTAGTAGTAGCAGTAGCAGCAGTAGTATATATTTTTTTTAATTACTTAAATATCTAAACGAATCCAAGTAATAATTTAGTCATGCTGCCTGACATCCTCGTGACCGGGTCTTAGTATTCTATCTACTACTCTATCCTATTCCATTTTATCCATGGCTCTATCCATCTGTTGCGTTTTATTCTATCCAGTCTTAGCCCAGTCCTGTCAGGTCTAGGCAGATTTTAGACCTCAGTTTAAGGTCCAGGGTTTTCCAGGCCTCAGAGTTCGGTCGAAGCAGCTTACAGACCCCAAAGTTAGGTCTTGACAGATTCCAGACATAACTGTTAGTTCAGATCTCAGCGTTCTACCCCTGGCGGCATCAGACAACAGACCCCTGCCAGCGACGGCGTGGCCTCGCTCCCCCTCTGGTCTAATGTCACTCACTCGCTTCCCTTTTTCTGGGCGTTTCTTTCCCCATGCAGACACCCCTTGTCATATCACTCCCGCCCCGGGTTTTTACACCTCTCCCCCTTCCATCCCTCACATCAATTTCCACTTCTCCTTTCCCTTCTTTTTCTTAAAAAATTGTCTTCTCGTTTTTTTATTCTGTTTAATCTGAACCATATTTGGGATGGTTATTGAGGATGTGTCATATCAACGTTGACCTTCACACACACACACACACACACACATATACATATATATATATATATATATATATATATATATATATATATATATATATATATATATTTATTTATTTATTTATATATATATATTTATTTATATATATATATATATATATATATATATATTTATTTATTTATTTATATATATATATATATATATATATATATATATATATATATATATATATATATATATATATAATTTATTTAATTGCCACATACCACCTCAACTTATACAATGCACTTGAAGCTCAATTATTTGCACACAACACAGCTTATCCCAAACACACAATATACCACAACCTACACACACACACACACACACACACACACACACACACACACACACACACACACACACACACACACACACACACACACACACACCGTCCCTCTGGTCTATGTTACAACAACAGTGTATAGAGTGACACTGGAAGGTGGCTCTCCTCCTCATCTTCCGTGGCACTGCCAGGTGCCAACACGCGAGAGAAACACCGCGTCTCGTGTTACTCCGCCGGAAGCTCAGTGCCAGGGGGTCAGCTGGGGTAGTGGTGGGTGGGGGGGAGGATGGTGTCAACTTAGAAAGGAGGACGTTGTGGAAGACTTGTGTTAAGAGGTGGAAATGGTGCCACTGTAGGGAGGGGTGCTGGTGGGTCCCAGTGTAGAGGAGTGATTAGGAGATGTCACTAAAAAGGGTGATTGTGGGGTGACACAGTAGGGGGTGGTTGTGGAAGATGCCTCTGTACAAGGAGTGTCACAATAGAGAGGTTGTTATGAGGGTGCCAGTGTACAGGAAGTGGGTGTGAGAGTACACTGTGTAGGTGTCACTGTACAAGGAGGGTCGTGGAGGGTTCTAATGGTGTCAAAACTGAGAAAAATATTATTGTACCGTAACACACAATTCATAATAAATTCCATAATAAATACTGCTGTATAAGTACTGTATATTACTAAACATAATTGAAATGTTGGTATTATATTTTAGTAATACTTAGCTGTACTTAAATGCATTATCATAACGTTACCATATCGATAATAACCAAGAAACACAAAAACTCATCACTGTATCTGGTAATGGCCCGCGGGAAGATTACTGGCCGCTGACCAGCCTGGAGTGAGTTTAGAAATACTTCACAGAACAGCTGAGATTAGGAACAAGCATAGAAACTGAGCCTCCGTTATTCACTCCTCAGAAATTCCGGAAAGTGATTAGGATCTTGCCAAGCCATAACGGAGACAGAGAGAGAGAGAGAGAGAGAGAACTTGTACTCACCAACGGGCTGTAGAAGGCGGAGGAGTCCATGCCGATGGATGGATAGGGGTTCTGTTCACTGGTGGTGTAGGTGGTGCCGTAGACGCCCCCTGAGGCCCCAAGGCCCGATCCGATCCTGGAGTAGGAGCCGAGGGCAAGGCGGTCGTACTGGCAGGAGCAGACGGGCTGGCCGCTGACGGGGTCTGTCATGATGGTGCGCCCGCCCTCACAGCACCCCGACCCGCCGGTGCCGCCCCCGCTCTGACCCACAAGCAGCTGACCGCACCAGAAACAACACGTCAGTAATCACCCACCTCACATATTCATAATACAGGGTAATGCAAGTGTATGCTGCATGATTTAAAATTTATTATAGAGAAAAGGTTTACGTAATAAAGATAAAAATCAGTATAAACAAAAGCACTATGTACCTTCCCCGCGAACACGTGTACACTGCCACAACACAAAGCCGCGGCAGCTGCTAGTCTGCACAGTGTTCATACATGCAAGTAATATCAAAGGCCACAGAAAAATTATAAAATATATAAGATACAAGACAGTGCAAGATTACGACACATCATTAAGAGAAATGAACCCGTCGACAAAAAGAGGACATGGCGGACTCGCAAAGTTTCGTAGGAGGATATTCTTCTTCTTCGTAGCCGAGGATGACGACACTTTTCGATGCTGCCGGATATTGCTGTTAGTTTTTTTTCTTACGTCATTTTGGAAGTGATATTTGTGTCGTTAAGTGAGCCGGGTAGGTCAGTTTACGACTCTACGGTTCCACTCCAGGGTACCACTCTACGGTTCCACTCCAGGATACAACTCTACGATAGTACTCTAATGTATAACTACGGTATTACCCTACTTTAAGACTCTACAGTATAACTTTACTGTCTGACTATACGGTATTAGTCGACTGCACGACTCTACGTACGCTTCTCAGAATCCGGGCCCGGCATCACACAGTTTTCACGCTGAGAATGACCCTAACGCTCCCTATTGTCTTGTTCCAAAATACTCGAGCCTTGTGTTACGTTGACTGAGTTACCATACGAGTGAGATAGTTTCAGGCAACCATAATAGCGGGAGAAGGAATGAAGTAGTCAAAATGTACAGTGAGAAGCACTAGGGCGGGCGGCGGGCTGATGAGGGGAGACAATATTCGGAAAACAAGAGATGGTTGAGTGTAGCTACCACCATTATTACCGCTACCATCACCACCACCATCATCACTACCACTGGTACCAACACCTTCACCACCACCATCATCACTACCACCGGTACCAACACCTTCACCACCACCATCATCACTACCACCGGTACCAACACCTTCACCACCACCGGTACCAACACCACCGCTACCACCAACACCACCGCTGCCACCAACACCACCACCATCATCATCATCATCACTACCGGTACTACCACCACCGACGCTGCTACTTCGCCCTGATTACCATGGTTGTGACCCTCAGATAAAGACAAAACACACGAATGCTATTTATACAGAGCTGCAGTTCTCTCACACGAACGACCAGGACCAACGACTCGAGCCAACATGTACTGTACAGTAGACAGTTGGCCATGATAAGAACATGCTGAATCCGCACACGCCAGTTGGCTTACAAATTGTGCTATCATTACTTTTCTTTAATTATGATTACGTGCTCGATAATGGCTTGTTAGTTTCCTATAACTGAATATGTTACTCCATTAAACTACAGTTAGGTATGTTGATACTATCTTAGACTGTATTATAAATTAAAATAATCTCCATAAAAGTAATGTTTGAAGATTTGTAAAGCGAAATTGTGTCATTAGTCGAAACTGTCGATTAAAAACAAAATAAATGTTAAATCTCGGAGTATTTAGTAACTTGAGAAATCTTACCTTATATATATATATATATATATATATATATATATATATATATATATATATATATATATATATATATATATATATATATATATATTGTGTGTGTGTGGTGGCAGGGAAGTACACGGGGGTGCGCCGGGTGCCTAGCTGGTTGCCACTGTGTATGGCCCCTCCCAGGTAAACTAACACTTGTGTCTTACTGTTCCTGACGAGTGGGTAGTAGTGTATTATATCCAGCGGTGGCTCTCTCTCTGTTTGTGTGTGTGTGTGTGTCTCTAAATGTGTCGGTGAAGAGACACACGTCGCTCAAGACTACAAGAAGCTGTAGAGGAACGAGACAGAATGTGAACGATGAGGGACGTGAATGGAAGGCAATCAGGTGAGGGGTGAGACAGGCAGGTGAGGGTGAAGCAGGCAGGTGAGGGGTGAGGCAGGCAGGTGAGGGTGAAGCAGGCAGGTGAGGGGTGAAGCAGACAGGTGAGGGGTGAAGCAGGCTGGTAAAGGGTGAATCAGGTAGGTGAGGGGTGAGGTAGGCAGTTGAGGGGTGAGGTAGACAGATGAGGGATGAGGTAGCTATGTTAGGGATGAGGCAAGCAGGTGAGTGTAATGCAGGCAGGTGAGGGGTGAAGCAGGCAGGTGGTTAGGGGTAATGCAGGCAGGTGAGGGGCAAGGCAAGATCTAAGAAGTAGTTGCGTACAGACCAATAACCTGCATTGTTCGCCGCTATCCTGTACATCCTGCACGATGCGACAGATACTAATGATAATATTAAAATGACACCTTTGACCCTTGCTAATGAGAGGCCACCGTAATGAATATAAATAAGTAATATCTCCCCAATAAAATTATGACACAGAAATTTGTAATAAACTGCGTAGCGTAATTTAGGTTGATAGATATATAAACGTGGAAGGTGTGTCACGGCTCCTGTAAGATTAATAAGACCTAAGAGATTAATATAATTTTTTTTTACATTGTGTGCTATTTCATGATGCCGGGTACACCATTATGAGGAATTAGGCTCCTCCCCAGCCATTATAACAGAGCCATTGTAATAATTATACCACAAGTAACGCGGGTGCTAATTTTACGAGTTTAGTTTGTTCGTGTGTGTGTGTGTGAGGCCGAACAGATCAGTAGAACACACATGCAGTAGGTTTTTTTTTTTTAATATATATGTATATATTTTTTTTTTCGAATTGAACTTTGTTTTTATCAACTTTTTAATCTTAAATGTAAATTATAGGAAATTCTGAGAGGGTGAGAAAATAATTTAGAAATAGAATGATTGTGACTAAAATAATAAAGACAAAATAAGTAAAATGGAGAGAGAGGGAATACAAAACTAGTACTGTATAATAAGACTTTTATACAAGGAAAAAATATAAAAGTAAATATCCCTGAAAACAAAAAATGCAATAGAAATTAATTAGAAGATGAATTCAATATTATTTTATTATTAATTATTCACACACAAAGCACGTCATTAGATACACGTAAGTGATAGTAACATGTCACAATACCTCAAGGGAGTGGAATGATAAGGTCGTTAACAGTGAAATGTAACGTAACAGCGACCAAAACAAGCATTAACGACCATCTGAACGACACAGAAAACGACTTATGATTTAGGAATGATTTATAGACATACCTGAACTAGCTTAAATGAGGTATATGGATTTATTAGATATAAAACAAATAAATAAAAACGTCAGAAAAATTCACGTCATGAAGGCAGTGTAAATTATCAAACGAAATCGTGAATAAAAACGACAACCATTATGTAAATATCTAATTATAAACGACAAATATACAGTATATGCACTCCTAAAACGACGACCCAAGAGTAGCGACGAGAACGAACTCAACGACACGTATAACATAACGACTGACTAAAGAACTACGGCAAAATAATTACGTGGCAACGACACTTTTGATGAATTATATAGACGACGGAGTGACATAATGAATCTAAAATACAGTGACATTTCCGGCTGATTTTACGACAACTTAGAGTGAAACAAGAATACTCTACGACACGCTGAAATATCTCCCACAAAGACGGATTGGAATATATTTTTTTTAACAACGACGGTGTTTATAAATATCTCTCAACTATAGGCCAAAACAAACAAACACACACACACACACACACACATACACACACACACACACACACACATATACCGAATTTCCCGCGCACAATGTAAACGACAGACCGTGAGCCGCGCAACGACGAACAATATACACTACCAAAATGTGGTTATAGGGAAACACTGCAGCACCTTAGCACCTGAGATGTGCTTATAACAACAGGCACTGAGATATATATACCGATGTGTATAACAAATATTATCATGACTATACCGAGATAGTGTACCTGTATATCTGGGGGGACATGATGGTGTGTGACGTCAGGGTTGATAATTACGTACGGTACTTAATACTGACGTGGGGAAATATAATCAATAACAAGAGACTGAAATAACGTAAATATACAGGCTGGGAGTGTGTGTGTGTGTGTGTGTTCGCGCGCGTATAAATCTGACGGAACACGAAAAAATACGCCAAAATATGACATATATTGCGATAACTCAAACAAAAACAATAGAATTAATTACAACACAATTAGGTTATATCCCAGTAAATACCTGCTCATGAAATTAATTAATATAGTCTCAAATACACTGTAGATAGTGAAGTTCCTATATTATAACACGGGCATACATGGTGATACAGGACTTATTAATTAAATGAATTATATAATGTCATTCTGGTGAAATATAGCAGTGTGAAGGTTTATTGTTGTGTGGTTACCTGCCTCACCTGTCTGTGTAGTGATCCCGTATAGAGACACTTCTATCTCTTGTGGTTTACTGGTTGCTGATGGAGTAGTGTTATTATTAATCTTGTTATGCACTTATAGACCTAAGGGATTATAGCGCAGTTTTAACATTATAACATCAACGACCCGATAGTGACCACTTAAAATAAAGAGGTCACTTAAGCTCGGTATAACTCTTAGTATTAATAATCGTGAAATAGCAAAAATAATAATATAAATAATTTAGACATAATATTCTTGACCAAAAAAAATAATAGCACTGTAATAATAACGGTCTTAAGATAGGTATTATAATAATTTTGTAATAATAATGTTCATAATAATAATCATAATAAAAGTAATAATGACCCCAAAAAATTAAAAACAATATAAAACAACGGAATTAAAAATAATAAATTAATGCGACTAATAACAACAACAATGACAGAAAGGAAAAATGATAACGAGAAATCCAGTCCTACAGGTATACTATAACTGGGTACGACCACGCGGGTCTGTCATCACCTGAGACGTCATATATTACCGTATAGTACAAACAGGTGCGTTG